TATATATATATATATATATATAAGAATAAAAAATCACACATATAAACACTATACCACTTGAATGGACCTAATCAGTTTTATTGTTTCATGCACATCCAAAACTATAAAAGCATTAGTTTTTATTATATTTTTAGGTGAACGATTATTTGATGACTTAATTTTTTTAATTCTTATGATATACACATTAACGCAACAAAAGTTTATTATTATTATTAATAATGTAGTTGCGTAACATTATCAAAAGGCGAGTGCGTATTTTTCATCTAAGTTTAGTTTTGGAATGTGCCTAAGGTGAATTAGTTAAATTGGTAATGCACCGAAAAATCACTAAAATTCATAATTAGATATAATAAAAATAAATTGGACGGATGATACATATAACTAATTGCTAATAAAATATTTTGTGATTTTATTTTCCATATTTATGAATATAAAGTAGTGATATTTCTTTTTATTGACAAGTTGTTTGTTTAAGTGATACTGGATTCAATCCCTTTAGATAAATTTTTTTAAAGTTTTGTGGATGCAAAAAAAGTAATTAAGAGGATAAACTCTACCGGTAATCAGTCATACTCTTTGACAAAAATCTGTCATTGGTAAAAGTAATGGATACTTCATACAAATAATATGGTTATAAAAAAGTGTCACTTCTTCATAAAAGAAACAAAGGGTTTCATTTAGTAATTATAGACGAAACAATGAGGGTGAAAAGGTGAAATTAGGGATGAGAATATGTTAGGTTATGCTAGACTTTAAATATATAGGTTAAGCCTTTATATAAATTAAAGCCCAAATTTACTCATTTAGTAATCATAGATTTTTTTTATAGGTATGACCTGACTTTTTTAGAGTCTGATTCGATCTGTTAGCCTATTTAAAAGCTTATTTAAATGAATAATATTAATTAGGTCAATTAGCTTAATTTTTAAAAATTCAACAAATTTATTTTTAAAATATAGTTTACTCAATATTATTAAAATGTAAATTTTAAAGGAAATATAGGAGAAAAATTGAATCATTTTCTATTGAAGGAACAATTCATGCTAGATATTGATGTATACTTATAAGCAGGTCGTAAACTTATAAACCTATAATGAAAAAAAAATTGTATAAATTTTTTTTAAATATTGATAATTTATTTTTATTTTATAAATTTATTTGTTTATTTATATTTTTAATAACATATGTATATTAATTTTTTTATTATATTACATAAATAAATAGGCTGATCTATCAAATCTAATAGATTTTTCTATAAGTCCAAGCTTAGCCTTTTCATATAAATAGGCTTTTTTAAAAGTCTTAGACTTGATATTTTTATTAAACAGGTCAAACTTTAAAAAAGTCAGACCATAGACTCTTATTTAAGGTCTGACTTATTCTCATCCCTTGGTAACACACAACACTTGTGCTCGTACTAGAAGTGACAGTTAGGTGAGTGGCCACATTAGAAGGTCACTTTAGATCTTGGATCTATCAAACTAATGACATTAAAAGAACGCTTACTAAAGGCAACCCAATAATTTCTCACTTTTTGCTCTTTATTTAAGTTTTATATGCATGAATTCATGTTTGTTTGTTTTGTGATTTGTTGTGTAAATTTGTTTTTAGCATATTTGATCATGGTGTTTTGAGGTTTGATTTCATATTTATAACATATGTATTTTGGGTGGAGAGTAGAATTTTGATGCTAAGTTTAGAATTATCACTTATGTTAAGATATTTGAAGATCATAGGATTTGATCATTTGTGGCAATTAACCAAGAGAAGATATGGACTTGTAGGTTGTAGCTTAAATGGTATGTTGGGTTTTGTGCTTAAGTTATACACTAGTATTGGTTGAATCTTGTTTGTATTCTTTGTGCTTCATGAACACCAAGAACAAAATGGGTTTTGTGCTTCATGTGGTAAATTTGGATGCATTTTCTTTTGAGGATATTAAATGGGTACAAATTGATTGTTTGGACACATTGTTATGCA